TTAAATAGAGGATTAGGAAGACGACAATTTAGTAGTCTGTGTACACTACACAATTGCTGTGGTTCATCTGAAAGTCGTGTTTCTTTTCTGAATCTTTATGGGTTTCACTGTATCTATTAAAATTCAGATATTCACAGGAATTGAACTCGGTCAATAATTTTGACACCTGTAGACTGGGTTAGTTCTACCCCCGAGCGCAGTAAACCTAGAGAATGCCTCGTGCTCTTAAATATTACGAAAATCTTCACTCCACTCCACATTTACACCAGGGATAAAGATTGCAAAAAAAATCCGCAAAATATTGACAAAAACCCGCCAACATTTTCTACTTATTTATAAATCCTTCTGTTTTTGTTTTAAGTGAAGAATATCTAAGTTTGATATTTGATTAATGAAACCCCTGGACCTGTATAAATTAATGAACATATTCCTCAATAACATATACGTCATAATCAAATATATATAAATACAATTCTCCTACATTAGACATAACAGGGCTGCTAGGTATATACAATATACAAGTTTCACTCAGAACCTCAAGAAATGTTATGAATTAACTAGAAAAATGGGTAATTTTTACATACAGAGAGAACCAAAAACAATGGAATATGAAGACGACATTACTGCTATAATTAAGTGTATTTGATATTGTTATAGTCACTTACTAAGTCAATAATTAAGTTAACTGGGTCTTTAGTCTTTACACTGCACAATTTCTGTGTTTTTGTTCATTAGACTATTCTAAAGTCATATTTTGAGTCTAAAAGTCATCTTCTTATTCCAGAGCTTCCTGGGTCTCACTGTAAGATTAAAATTAATTTTATAATTTTATTAGAAAATTAAACATCTGACACTGTCTTGATCTTCTGTGCGGTAGAATTCCACTTGTCAGTTTCTTAGGAAAATGAAAATTGTGAATATTATTTCAATTTCACATATATCTTTTTTGGGCATTTAGAACGCTTCCCACCCCTTTTTCTATTTTTTAAACTCAATATTTCGAGGATTTTTCTGTTTAAATTGGTGCATTAAAAAAATAATAAATGTCTTTTTTTTCGGGCAAAACTTTTAATTTAAACCTCATAAACCTTTCCTGGGGTCATGATAGCTTAGTCCCAATCGGTTCAGCCGTTTTAACGTTTATTATTTATTCAGAATTGTAGAGTACAGTAAAGAGTACTAAGGCTGTATTTAAAGTTTTGATTGTATACAAGCTTTTTTAGAATTACAAGTTTGCAAGTAATCAAAGAGAAACTTCATTAATCTACATCTTCTCTTTGTTTTCATGTTTATGTTTATCCAGCTATTAAAAAGCTTGATATTAATCAACATTGAAATCGAAAGCGTCGTCATTGTATTGATATAAACGCCAACACTGTATAAAACGCCTGCACGGGTTTCTTTGAAATTTCACGGACTTAATCTTTGCGGAAAGTAAATTACTTGGAAATGGCAGATTTTCAAGCCATCTGACGACACTTTTTATACTTTGGCCTTTCATCAAACTCATATATCATCTGGTAACAAAACAAATATTACACGAGGGGTGGCCAGGTTGGGAGGGGNGCAATTTGATTTATGTAATTCAGAATGCAGGACGTTACTTTTAAACTTTCCCGGCAGGATCAATTCTTATTCCATTTTAGGCCTGATTCCTTTTAAGGAGATTCAGATTATTTTTGCACTTTTGCACTTTGCAATTTCCTAAAGATTTTGCATGGTTTGAGGAAAGTTGCCAAGATAAACCCAGTGTAACGGATTCCAAGCGCAATGCTCATGGGTTTAATGGATTGAATGACTAATCTACGGAAATTCCAATATAGTAAAGACCGCGTCTAGGACGCTCTGTATAATTTGCGAATTTTTCAGTTTTAAAACTGGTGGGTTTATTATAATATATGATTTAAAACTCACGATACTTCAGCTAATAGCGTATTATATTCAGATATATACAGTAAACACACACACACACAGCACACACACACTCAAACACATGAAAATTGATTTTCAAGAATGCCTGGCGCTTTGTAACTCAATTCTAAGTATGTTTGGGCTGTATCAGAATAAACTTAAATATCGTCTTTTAAATAATTTTCAAATGTATAATTTTCTAAATTCTGATCTTTTCTTAACTAACACAAGAAATTTTTAAAGACCTATTTATAACACTATTAATTTGGTTCGAATGCGCATGTTTTTATCGAGAAGGTTCAAGCGCGCCATTTTAGGTATTATTTCGTCAATCGGTGAAGCTTGGGACAAAATATAATCTAAAAAGGCGAGAACCTTCGAGATACAGAGAAAATTTAAGTCTTAATAATAACACGTCCCACCAAAGTAAAGTACAAGGTAATTTTATGAAATGTGATGTGTACTTGATGCAATTGTTAGTTATGTACATAATGAGCTTTTTAAGTAAAAAAAAACACAAATAAAAAATAGGAGTTAGTTATTTTACATTTTTATTAAGAAAATCCGGGAACTAATGAAAATAAAATAGGAAAATTAAGAAAAACAGGAAAAATGTATAAGGGAAGATGAAACATGACCATAAAGTTATGTAAAAAATTCAAACATTTTTATTTTCTGATAATGGTCAACTTGTAATTTTATGTGTTTTATTTTAATTATCTAGGTCCCCATCCATGCATATTAAAAGATAATATCCTTTGCTTAGAATTGTTATTTTTACCACCCCTGTATTTTAGTGTGCAATATGTTGAGGAAGAGGTATGTTTGGATGAAAATGCGGGACTAAAGGATACAATTTTGACCTTTTTCCTTCTCAACGTATTATCTGGGGCCTGTTTAGAGGGTTTCCAAGTGTTGTTCCTGGTGGCCTGGTCCGACCAGATTTATTTGGCCCGGTCTAGTTGCTCATCTTCCTTTACTTGGCCGTGAAGCTCGGTTAACATTCCTGTACCGTCCCGACCTTCCCCGTCTTCAAGTTTCCGTCCCACCGGGCCCAGCATCTCCTCTTCGTAAACCTTCGGTTCAACCAGTTGCGTTCAGACGCTCAAACAGATTAGACGGGAACCATAATGCTCCGTGATTGAACATCAATACAAGCTCATAAACTGATTCAAAATGGCATTTTTAAGTCATATAATCTTGTATTCTGCTATTGTGACGTGTCACCTAGGTTTGACTGAGATAGTTATGAGTGAAGGAGGCGGATATAATAATATTGTTGTGGAAATTAGTAAATATTTAAACGAAGATGAATGCCCAGCAATACTCAAAGGATTAAAGGTAAATTTAAAAATATTGCGGATTTTGTTCTTGCGGAAAAATAAACGGATTTGTCGTTGTTTTCGTTCGCAAATATTGATGCATCAATGATCTTTACCTGGGCAATTCACAATTTATTTGACAGTTTTTGCGATAATTTCTCCGTAACAAGGTTTAAGTTTTTGTGCATCAAATTCGCAAAATATCTGTAATTGACGCTCAAGGATATTTGAATGAAAAAAACGAAAACCTAAAAATATCAATATTTCGAAAATATTTATCATAGAAACTATAAAATAAACCTTCGATCAACAGTATCATGAACTAGGAAACTGTATTATGAACTTTGAGCTGTATCATGAATTAGGAACTGTATCTTAAACTAGGAACTGTATCATGAACTAAGAACTGTAACATGTACTAGGAACTGTATCATGTACTAGGAACTGTATCATGTACTAGGAACTGTATTATGAGCTAAGAACTATATCATGAAATAGGAACTGTATCCGGAACTAAGATCTGTATCATGTTACCCGGCTGTATCTCTGAACCATAGGTTCCAAGAAGCAAAACTCAAACTTCTCTCTGACTCATTTCTTGAAAAAACTAACCATCCTCCCAACAATACATTCAATACACCTACTCATTTACTTAGAACTTTCATTTACAAGGCATCTACCCTTAAACCGTTCTTTATGTTAAAGCGTGCCCAGAGATTTGAAAGTTCAATCTGATTTAAACTTTATAAGAATGCAATTTAATTTATGTAATTCAGAATGCAGGACGTTACTTTTAAACTTTCCCGGCAGGATCAATTCTTATTCCATTTTAGGCCTGATTCCTTTTAAGGAGATTCAGATTATTTTTGCACTTTTGCACTTTGCAATTTCCTAAAGATTTTGCATGGTTTGAGGAAAGTTGCCAAGATAAACCCAGTGTAACGGATTCCAAGCGCAATGCTCATGGGTTTAATGGATTGAATGACTAATCTACGGAAATTCCAATATAGTAAAGACCGCGTCTAGGACGCTCTGTATAATTTGCGAATTTTTCAGTTTTAAAACTGGTTTTTCGCATTTTAAAATCTATTCGACAATTCTTTCATGTTGCTTTTCACAAATTTTTCTTTGAATTGTTTTGTGGTCAGCAGTTTTGATCCAGTTTTTACTTGTCATAGAGTGGGACTGGTACACCTGTATAGATAGATATCTGGATACAGTGTAGGCGATTATATTAATACAATGAAGACGACTTTCGATTTCAATTTTGATGTTTGACAGTTTGATCCCATAAACATAGTAGTCAAGAGAAGCTTGTTAATGATCTAAACTTAAATAAAACTAAAAAGCTTGTTAATAATCTAAACTTTGAATAAAAAAGTCGTCTTTATTTTATTGATATAATTGCATACCACTGTTGCTAGATAGATAAGTAGATAGATCAATATATAGATAGATGGTAGGTAGGTAGGAAGGTCGGTAGATAGATAGGTACGTAGGTAGGTAGAAAAATAGATAGATACATAGGATACTACATGGTCATCTATACAAGCTCGGGGATATAATAAAATATTCATGGTAAATTCGTTCAGATTCTAATTCTGAATAGAGAGAAAATATTTTGGAAGTTTTGTTGACCTTGTTTAGAAAATCGTGACCTGTCCCATTAAATACATTCTTGTTTCCCATCCTTAATTTTACCCTTGTTGGTCTTAATAATATTCCTGAGGTTAACCTTGCGTAAATTTACGCAAATAGAGATGGTTCTTCGTCGATTACTATTATGCGTTTGTGGTTTCTCAAATTGTTCTTAAAATTCAATAGATGCGTAAACTAGAATTGCGTAAGGATCACGACACATGAATGCGTAAACTATTCACAGCTTTTGTGCTTTGTGCACGCGGCTAAGAAGCGCAAATATTTATGGTCAACCCCCCCTTACACATATTCCCCGCCATAAATTTTCCCTGATATAAAATGCCTAAGGTATGTTCCCTAGACCCTTGATGATTATTAATAACTGTTTTTAGAGGAATTAATGATACCGCTAAAAATATCCTTTTGGATGAAAATTGACCGATTGTACTCATAATAGAGGGTAGAGAAGGTAGAGAGGGTAGAGAGGGTAGAGAGGGTAGAGAGGGTAGAGAGGGTAGAGAGGGTAGAGAGGGTAGAGAGGGTAGAGAGGGTAGAGAGGGTAGAGAGGGTAGAGAGGGTAGAGAGGGTAGAGAGGGTAGAGAGGGTAGAGAGGGTAGAGAGGGTAGAGAGGGTAGAGAGGGTAGAGAGGGTAGAGAGGGTAGAGAGGGTAGAGAGGGTAGAGAGGGTAGAGAGGGTAGAGAGGGTAGAGAGGGTAGAGAGGGTAGAGAGGGTAGAGAGGGTAGAGAGNGGGGGGGGGGGGGGGGGGTATTCATAAGTAACACCTGAGGCTTGATTTCTAAAAAATTAACATTTTGATTAATAATAAAATTGGGTTAAAAATATTTTATTAGTTTTACAACTGTTCTACAACAATAGAAACATTAGTCTATAGTGTTCAACTACAATTATTATTATTATTTATTAATCAGATCAGATTTCTAGTATTCATTTATCTATCTATCTATCTATCTATAATTTATCTATCTATCATTTATCATCTATCTATCTATCTATCTGTTTTATCTATTTATCTATCTGTTTTATCTATTTATCTATCTATCTATCTGTTTATCTATTTATCTATCTTTCTATCTATCTATTTATCTATCTTTCTATCTATCTATCAAACTATCTATCTATCTATCTATCAATCTAACTATCTATCAATCTACCTATCTATGTATTTTTTTACTTTTATCGATCTAAGGTTAGCTTTTATACCCTGTATATTAATCTTTATAAGTTGATGTATGCCCAATGCTCATCAAAAATGATTTATCAGTTAAATAAATCTTAAGAATTCTGTCTCTCGCATTTCCAGAGTTTACTATGTCTCGCTTAGCAAATATGCATTCAGCAAATTCAATTTGTTTAGAATTTAATAATCGTAAAGATTATATAATTAAGACTTTACACGAAGAAAATGTTGTTTTATGCCTAATTTATGATATAATATAATACATATTGTACATAGAAAATATCTAATTAGCTGATCCGAAACATATTTAAATATAAAACCACCTTGAAGGGGCTGCAGACGTTTTTTTAAAGAGTGGCAAGTCTGATTTACAACAGTACCCTTTGAACCTTTATCTCCTCAACAATATTTATGGAAAACAAATATTATGGAAAAGAGTTGATTTTTAATAATTTCCTTTTCTTTAGTCTGTTGCATAGATCCTTGAACTGCAATGATAGAAAAAACTCCATCATTTGGCTCAGAGTTTAAAGTTTAAAGGGTACAATTGTGAATTGGAAATACCCGCTTTCAATGGTGGAAGAGTCATTTCGTGTACGGTCCCTTTAAATCGTTTGTTTTAAACTCGTTACGTTTATGCTTTTAAACATTTGGTAAATTGCGTCCAAAGAACTTTATGTACATTGTTTTGGTTTCAAGATATCTGAAACCTTCTCACAGTTTTTACAGTTGTAATTACTTTGTATACAACAGTTAAAATACTTTCTTTAGTTCTTGTTGAAGAGAAAAATACATTTTATAAAGTTTAGAAATTTTCTTTGATAAAAGACAATGAATTTTTGTTGTTGTTGTTATTAAATGAAACATTTTTTTAAAATTTGTTCTGTTTCAGGATTTGCTGGATGTTTCTAGCTTGAGTTTGCATAAATCCAGCTCAGGTCTATTCTACTTCCAGTCAATAACTGTCTTGGTTCCAGCCGACTGGAAGGATTCTAGCTGCGGCGTGAGTATACGAGGACCTGGGGCGGATACTCCATACGCCCCGGCGGATATCTACATAGAGAAGCCCGGAGCCGTTGGCGGATATCTGCCTTTAACACAACAGTCATCTGGATGCGGGGTTGGTGGAGACTTTATATCCCTCCCTCATACCTTCATTTCAAACCAGAATATCACAGACAGACAGGCCAGACAGTTTGTACATGAATGGAGTAAGTTCAGATATGGAATCTTTGATGAATCTGGGTTTCCGGGAGACTCTGTATATCCTGGATACTACCGGAGAGATGGAAAACCTCTCCCTGTTGTTTCCCACAACGGTATTCTGGCAGGAATGTGGTTAAAGAACGGAGAAGCATGCGACCCTACGGAATCAGCAGAATGTATCTTTACTCCGGAACCGACAGACGAGATCACCTGCTCTCTTGGGAACGGTCTTAACCTGGCCAATAGTTATAGATATTGTAACAGTTCAGAGTTTAAAACAACTCCGACAAAACAAGCAGTTTTGTGTCAGGGACTCTCTACGCAGGACGTTATTAGTCGTCATGCAGACTTTATCAAAGTGCAGTCTGGCACTGGATCCGGGATTGATCTAACTCCAGAGATAAGAATAGTACGCGGACCCCCTACCAAGTTTGTTTTGGCCATCGACACCTCAGCCACGATGAATGATCATTGGCGTTGGATAGTTAAGGCGGCGCACAAGTTTATTCGCTACGATATGCCAGTCAACTCAAATTTGGCTGTTCTTACCTTCAATGACAAGGCTAAAATTGAACATCCCCTCATAGAAGTTACCAGTGATGATATTCGGGGTCGGCTAGCTGATCTTATTCCTGTCAAATACCATCTCAGTACTGGAGAGAGAAGCTGTGTAGCATGCCTGGTTCAAACTGTGTTTAAAGATGTTCTGAAAAACAATATGGCCGGGGCTCACATCATCCTTGTCACCCACGGGAACAGGGAGATCAACACCGTTGAGATGACAGAGATGAAGAATCTTGTGATCAATAATAATGCAAAGCTATCATCTATTATTATTCCCAGTGATCGAAACGAATTTTTCGGAAATATAGCTGACTTATCCCAGGGTTTAAACTATCAGCTCTCCGACACCGGACATTCCATGGATTTCCTGTTTCAAATGAACTCTGCCTTCAGTAGTATCCTAAGACAGGAGAGCATCTACCCAACCGAGATACCGGAGCTAGTCCACCAGGCTGAGTACTACAGCGGGGACGAGGGGCTTAGCGAGGGCAGGTTCATCATTGACGCCACCTTGGGTCGGGATACTATGTTCGGTATCTATGTGAAGGATGAAGAGGATCATTTGATTAGATCTGTTCAGTTTACAGATTCAAGAGGAAATGTTTACGGCCCGTTCTCCAAGATGTCGTCTTCTTTTGACCGTGTTAACCTCAAAACGATCAATTATATTGGACAAGTTCCACCTTTTGGAGATGTAAGTATTTTTATATAACCTCCCCTTGACTTTCTTACCCCCCCCCCNTATGTTTCGAATCATTCTCTATCTTTCCATCTTGGTGCAACAAAAGAAGTGAGGGGGGGGGGTAGGATTCGATGATTTAAAGCCCCCCCCCCCTCATTCAACATAAAATAAAATTTTGCTTGTTGATATAATTTTCCCTGCAGCCCCTTGGAAGTTTAGGCTGTGCTGTCGTTCTATCTATGTCTATATCTATCTATCAGATATTCTATCTATCAATCTTCATGGCACTGTCATTGTATTCATAAAAGCATTGTTGATGAGTATATCTGTATATCAGTATATATATATCCTGTCACTGGACTTTATGTTTATTGTTGATGACAATACAATTTTATCCAACAGAATGAGATTTTAACATTGTGTTAAAGTCATAAGATTACAAGATAACAAATTTCAGGGAATGGAGAGTTAAAAAAAATGCGGAATGATTTAGCAACATTGGCACAACTAAATTCTTTTGAAGGGTGGGGGGGTGTTGGAAATAATGGGGCGTCCTTTTCGTCGCCCCCCCCCTCCCATTTGATGACTAAACCCCTTGATTTGAGTTTAATTTTTCATGTATCTCGGTTTGGTGTGTTTGTAGAAGGATGAAGTTGCAATATTACTCTGAACCCTACGTAGTGACAATACACAATCTAGATCTGATATCATTTTAAACCTTAAGTTAAATTCATATATAGATATTTATATAGATAGATAGCCAGATAGATAGATAGATAGATAGCTAGATAGATAAATAGTTAGATAGCTAGCCATCAAGATAGCTAAATGGCTAGATAGCTAAATAGCTAAATATATAAATAGCTAGATAGATAGATAGCCAGATAGATAGATAGTTAGATAGTTAGATAGATAGATAAATAGATAGTTAGCTAGCTATCAAGATAGCTAGATAGCTAGATTGCCAGATAGCTAGATAGATAGATAGTTAGATAGCTAGCTATCAAGATAGCTAGATAGCTAGATAGATAAATAGCTAAATATATAGATAGCTAGATAGATAGATATCTGGATACAGTGTAGGCGATTATATTAATACAATGAAGACGACTTTTGATTTCAATTTTGATGTTTGACAGTTTGATCCCATAAACATAGGAGTCAAGAGTAACTTGTTAATGATCTAAGCTTAAATAAAACTAAAAAGCTTGTTAATAATCTAAACTTTAAATAAAAAAGTCGTATTTATTGTATTGATATAATTGCATACCACTGTTGCTAGATAGATAAGTAGATAGATCAATATATAGATAGATTGATAGATAAATAGATAGATATATAGATAGATAGATAGATAAATAGAAGAAGTATGAGGTTCTAGGTTTAACACCTGATTAAATCAGATCATTCTCAGTATTAGAGGTTTTTAGTTCCCCCACGCCCTAAAACCACCAAAACTACACATTCTTTACACCTGCTGAGCTTTTAGGGACTTAGAGCTCTTAACATCGTTTTTACAAATGTTACTTTTTCACTTTAATATCCACTTTTTCTCTTAATCTTTCTTCTTCTGATCTTACTCCGTATTTTAAATTGTCTCTTTATTTGGATTGTTTTGGCTTTACTCCATCTTTTTAAAAACCTAAATCTACCATTTTAAATCCATAATCCTTCCTTTGTGAACTTTTTTCATTATTTTGAACTTTATCCATTATTTTTGCTACTAAATTAATTATTGTGAATCAAACCATACTTCATTATTTAAAAAAAACTTATTTTCAATTCAATTCTATTCTAATAATTTAAATATTTCAGTCTGCCCTGCTCGGTACAGAGTGGAAGTATAGAATAGAGTGGGATACTGAGGAAGGACGAACCAGGAAAAGTTTGGTTGTCCTAACCTCAAAACCCCGGAGTAAGGACGAGTCCCAACTTATCTCCGTGACCTCCTGGACATCGGGACGAGACGGAGAGGATCAACTTATTCGGGTTCTGGCTAAAGTAAGAAAAGGTAAGGTTAATTACTCTCAATAAAATCTAAAAAATCATAAATCGAACAAAACTTAAATGTTTACGACAATACTGGCAGGACTTTGTGGTCTTGTAGCTTCTCTAGTTTTCATTTTAAACAAACGATTTAGAAAACCACATTTATTTGGAATCATACTAGAAATTCAAAACCTTCCTGTTTAGATGGGCGGATTATTGGTAACTAATAATTTGGTAACTAACATTTTGGTAACTAACAACATGGTAACTAATAATTTGGTAACTTGACAATTTTGTATCTAACAATAGCAGGACTATTTAAAGATTTATGATTCACCAGGTTTATTAAACTTTCATATATCATTTACTTCTTATATATATGATTACATTTAAACTACATGCTTATGCAGAAACTTAAATTAGCGCATTAACTACATCCAGGTACTCCTCTATTGCTCTTCAATACGAGTAGTTTTAATTCAAAACAGTTAAAGTTTTAATCTAAAATTCAATTATGCTCGCTTTCATTTTCTTTATCATTAAATATTTTAGGTTTGCGACCTATCTTGAATGCTTCTGTTTATCTTGATGTAGAGATAGATACAGAAAATGGAACAGGACTGGCAATTCTACCCTTGCAAATGCTAGATAATGGACATGGAGGTAAAATTAGCAAAACTCAACGCTTTTTGCACAATTTACAGAATTCTAATATTTCTTGTATTTGGATGAGCTAAGGGTTTGGAATGAAGATATAATTTAGTGCCCGGCAAAACTTGACCGTATTTAAGCCTTTGAGGCAGTTTATCTGGTCAGATATCAACAAAAATACAACGTTTAACAACTACTTTTTTATTTCTTTAATGCAGTTTTAGATACTTTTCTCAAAAATTCTTGTTAAGTTGTTAGCGAAATCCGGGAACTGTAATTTCATCCTTTTTGCCGCAAAAATCAGAGAAAATGTGCAAGTTTTCCCCCTGGGGTATCATTCAGTATAATACCCCAGGGGTATTCACATTATTACTCATGGTCTCTGTTTTGTCTTTATCCCGCGGTATATTTCTCAGAACTCAGCTTCTGTTCTTTTCCTTAATATTGCGTGAACAGAGATTAGAAGATAGACTCGAGGGGCAGACTTTTCTTATAGATAGAATAGATAGATAGATAGATAGATAGATAGATAGATAGATAGATAGATAGATAGATAGATAGATAGATAGATAGATAGATAGATAGATAGATAGAACCGTGATATAGAATTCAAACGGTTTAGCTAGTCACATATTTGAATAAAACTAACCGTTGCAAGATTTACCATTTTTTCATTGACATATTTTTCTAGATGTAGATCTGATGTCGGGGGACGGAATCTACTCTGCAGTACTCACCTCCTATCCTAGTACAGGCAGATACAAGTTTACTCTCAGAGTGTCCGGAACCAACACAACCCTTTTTCCGGTCCAAGGAGCAATCGCTGAAACCGCCGGCGGTTCTGCTGTAAAGTTTGCGGCGGAGAAATTGGTTCCAACCGGCGAGTTTTTCCGTACCGTCTCCGGTCCTGTTGAATACATAGCCAAGGTTCCAGATACAAGAACTATTCCTCCAGGCAAGGTGACGAATCTAGAGATTCAGGTTGGAGAGGAGGGACGACTATTCTCCTCGTGGACATCCTCCGGGGGAGATTTAAACTCCGGGTCTGTCTCTGGATACAGGTTTGTCTACTCCGAGGATATCTCCGAACTGCTGGATATCAATGCTGAACCTAGATCTCTGATAAACCTGGATTTAAATCAACCTGCTGGTGTGCTCACTACTCAGGATATTCAGTTCCCGTACTACGAGCAGGATTACTATATTGGACTCATCCCTGTGGACTCCGACGGAAACCTTGGAATGATCTCGAACCTTGTTCATGTTTTCCTTCCTGCCCCTCCCTCCCTACTCCAGGATGCTGGTCTCACATCTCCAGCTCCCAGCCTCAGTATTCTCAACTCGGAGAAAGATTGGATCATGGTTGGAGTTATCTGTGGTATCCTCCTCGTTCTTATCGTTATATCCGTCGTTAGTATCTCATACTTCTGTTGTATGTCAAGGAAACCGCGACAAGAGAGAAAATCTGCGACAGGAAGTGTCAGCGATGTTCATGTCGTCAGCTCTGGGTCCTCAGATCATACGGACGGGACGGATGCGGGTAGTTTTGACTCCGATATGAAAAACTTGAGCGGTAATAATATAGTTACTGGATACGATCCTAGAGATATAGAATTTGGACTCCAGTATACAGGATCAAGACATCTGGAGGTTGAAACCCCAACCAAAGATTCTGGAGCATCCACCAGAGCTACTCCAGTTTATTGGAGCGCATCCCAGCTCCTCTCTAAACTGGAGGAGGGAGGTTCCTATGCTCCGGAGTATAGTTACCACTACTCTACTGCCTCCGGAGTAAAACTCTCCGATCAATCCCGTTCCATAAACCTGGAGGTTGCTCCCCTACCTACAGAGTACCTGGAGAACAGATCAGGAATCCCAGAAGAATTTTGTGTAACTGTTAGTAATCTTCCAAACAGATACACAGATACAGACAGATATGCAGACAGCCAGGCTACATCTGTTATCATGACAGACAGTTTCAGGAACTCACACAGATCTAGAGATAGGGCTCTCCCCCCTCCTCTCTACCCTAAACCTAAGAATATAACCCAAGTTTAAAACAAAGTTAAGGGATCTTGCACCTGAATATTCAGAAAAACTCTCACTGTGATCTAGTCCTAATTGTGTGTTAAAGTTTGGATTTTATGAACCTTAGATCATTTTGATTCATATATGTATATATGAATTATAATTCAAAAGTTACATCTTATGAAAAATGCGATTGAAAGTTCAGTATTATTAACTCAAGCTCAGTGTTATAATCCAAAGTTTAATAAAGCGAACTTGAACATTTAAAATCGACTTAAACTCCAAACTTGTTCGTCCTTCATAGTATTGTGATGTAAATGTAATCTTAAACATAATGTTATCTTTTTGATTACTGTTTTTATACAAATCATTATGTTAATAAATCATTGAAGTTACATCTTTCATCTGGATTTTATTTGCAACAATTGCACTGTGCAATAAATAATACAACGATACTCATATTTGAATGCGCAAATTTTAGTTTTCGCATTTTTAACTTAAGAAAAAACATATTTTCGTACTATTGGCAAATATCTTTGATTTCACAAATGAAATGAGTCTTTGTCACAAACTCAAATTTTCTTTTTCCTTTATCTAATATACCTTATTGTTTAAACCAACCTTTGACATTTCAAACTTAGATTTTTTGATGTACAGTTATGTCATGTCCCACCTACAGTTTAAAACCTGTTAGTTCATCCGTTTCGACGTTTATTTGAAACAAACTACCAAACATAAACGTTATGTACTCTTTTAAGTTCATGCAAACAAATTGGATGAGTTTTATTCTTGCACTTAAATATAATAAAATATCAGAATAGATTTTGCTTGTTTTTGCGCATTTTTCATGGAGATTTTTAAACACGCAAAATAACTGCTTTTTGCTAAAATAGGTTAACTTTGGTGCGGGGGGGGGTCATGCTGAGTTGCATTTTAACCCTAGTAGGGGTTCACTAGGATTTGAACTAAACTATTCGAATTTTTGGAGATTTTAACGAAACCAAGTTTTAACCTGGAGTGACGAGAGTCAAGGGTTAAAGGACGTGAACAAAGCCAAGTTTTTTTACACAGAAAATATATTTTCTTTAAAACAAAACCTAGCGCACGATACAAGGCATCAGGCAATTTTAAAATTTAAACTTTTGCAAGAAAAAATTAGTATTTTTTTTTAATAGAAAGGTATATTTGAATTTTGTAATTACATCATTTTTTGACGTTGAAACATATTTTTGTATGAATTTTTTCTTTCATTGGTTAAAACAAAAACACTTTTGGATTTTGAAATAAAACATTTCCAGGGTTGAAGCTTTTTAAATGTAGTTGTGTGATGGATGAATAGATGAATATCAAGTTAAGGTTTGGGTTCTAGAGTTCTCAAGCTGTAAAGCACACTCTGAGATACCAACATTTAACCTAACCTGACCCTAAACCTTACAAACAGGGGAGAATCTACACAAATTTTCACCAAAAATATCTTGTCAGAAAACTATTAAAATGTATTTATTTTACATAATAAAAATAAATTTTTTTTTCTTCATAATTTAAAATCTTTAAATACAAAAAATCTGATGATTTAAAATTTGTAAATATTTACGAAATTAAAAAAAAAAATTTAGAATAATATAAATCCCTGAATTAGCTGCGATGCTTCGTCTAATATATGTTGAGAGCCACGATTCGACTTTATAATCAGCTTTAGAAAGACTTAAAATATATTTATTCCCACCAAAAACCAAATATTCACAAATTTTCAGAATCCACAATCTAAAACAAGAATTCTTCGCGGAAAAAATTATGCGCAGTTTTAGAAACCGATTTTTGTGGATTTTTGTTGTATTCTTGCCTGAGGGCACACCCATGGTTTGTGGATAGTTGCCAGAAAGGATCATTTGAGAGAAAACTATGCATGGTCAAATTTATACATTTTTACACAGGTTTACACATTTTAAGAAATTCCACAAAATTGGCAGAGGCGTGTGAAGGTGCTAGTAGAG